TCCTCTGTGTGAAGCTCCGGATGGGCCCCAAGGTCTCGCGGTGAAATTTCGTTTCCTGCAATGAGCCCCCCGCCCTCCGCTTCACCCCCCCCGGCCCTTCCTCCCCCCGTGCTAGACAAGTTCGTTTTTGTGCAGAAGACTTGTGCAGGGGTCATCCGCTGCACACTGAGACTGTTTCTGCGCCTGAAGGTTCTCGCCCAGCAGATTTAGGGTGTTTGATTTAAGGTTGAAGCTTCAAGCTTTCGGGTATAGAGTTTTGGGTCCAAGGCCTACGGACCTTGGTATGCTCGCGGGTTCCTGCTTTCCGAAACAATGCACCTGCTTCAAGCTCAGCCGGGCCGAGGCGGACGACACCAAGCGTTTAGAATTAAAAGCACCGCCAGTATCCGCCAGTCACCAAAAGGCACCAAAGACCAGTCCCCGCAAGTGCACCCTCTACTATTCTAGTCGGTTTCCATGACAGTGCGCACGAACCCCGCGTTGCCATCACAGCACCAAAACCAGCCTTCCCCCAGTAGACGACCAATTTCGCAAGCACCGGCTCCACACACACGGTGACTGTAACAGCCAACTTTCCCGAAGTTGTGCGCGCCTTTGAGGTGCCTTTTGTTTGGCTTCTATGTTCGGCGATGTCTTAGGGCACCCCTAAGTAGTTGCTCTTTCACTTTGGCGCGGTCTGAGAATGTGTTGTGAGATGGTTGGGCTGCAAATGTATGAAAACAACGACGACCTTTCCCGTCCCTACAAAATTCCGCCAGGTCCTTCCAAAAACGATGAAGACGATGGACACGCAAAGAAAGACCTGCGGCTGCGGCGGCGATCCATGTATGATCAGAACTCTCTCGCCATATGCAGACGAAAGCAGTCATGTGATATGTCACAGGTGCCGTGTTTTCGCTAAGCAGCCTGCTGCCGTTAAACACAGCAATTTCAGCTTTCGCTATTCTGGCCCTTTCGCACGTCCTAGTACGGATGATGCATCAATAATCGCCCCCAGGCTTCTAGAGCTCGGTGCTGCTGAAACAGCTGGGATAGAACCCTGTAGAACTGACAGCTAGATGTGCCTGCGAAGCCAGCATCCGAACCTAACTCCGCTGACTTATGCCAACACTTCTTCTCCGCCTTCCAAGCATGCTCGTACACGTCCAACACTTTGCGTGTGGTCCAAACGGAGAACGTGTACATCAAGCCCATACATTCTGCTCCTCGGAAGCCAGGATCGAGACATCTGATACGGTGCGACGGTGGGTATGGCACTGGCATCCAAGAACGAAACGCACAAAAATGCCAAGTGTGATATGCCTCAGAAGGTACGGCTTCTTGCATTGCAAACGTGTCAAGACGGTGTCAAGACTTTGCCTTGATCATATGTGAAGCCGCGCATCTTTCGTTTTCGAAGCCGCGATATCCATTCTCGTAGGACTTCCCCCACCCACAGTAGCAATTCCAGTTCGGGACCGGGCATGAAGCATAGTCTCCTGCGGGCAATCGCTTCCATCGAGGAAGCACAGCACAATCATCGCAATCTGGGGTCTCTGAGTCTGACACATGCTTGCGCAAATCCCAAAAGAAGCGACAGGCAGGACCACAGCAAGCCGGGTGAGCCAACATAAACTGATGTATGCATTGATGCATTGATGTGTCTCGCCGCGCCTTCCTGGGGGACATATGCCTTCTATATGTAAGATGATGCGTGAGAGTCAAGCAGGGTCGAGGCCTCCTAGAAGTGCAGAGTCTGTCAGGTGACTTCTACGAGATTCTGCTTGTTCGTAGCGGCCGGCTGAACGTTTGAACCGTGGAGTCCCGTTTCCCATTCATGGAACCTGTTCGACAGCTGCAACTTGTTGCAAACTTGGCGGTGCACAGTCCTAGAAACTCGCTGCACTGCTGGTCACTTTCACATCGAAACTGCTCACAGACCTCAGCTGCAGCCCGAACACATGCATCTTGGCAAAAGAGCACAGATGATGACACAGATTGCGGTCAGCAGCACGCGCGGCCAAAAGCACTCAACGAAACGATCATCGGGACCGTCAAGAGCATTCTCAAGCTTGATGTGGGGGTCAGTACGACTTCAGCTTGGGAAAACAAGCTCATGTTCAAGAAAAACTCGAAAGGGGACCACTAGAGGGAGACAATGCGCCTGTCAGCCATGACTTTACGAAATGTTCTGAAGTACGAAACTGGTTCCCTATGCGTTTCTTGCGGAATATACCTTCTGCACCGTCTTGCATATGTCGAGTGTAGCGGCACAACAGCAGGCAGTGTGCATGTCGCTCAAAAAGCTGGTGTCTGTGGTGGTGAAGTCATCAAATCGATATTCTGCTTTGTAGCTGTTTCTTAGCAGATCTTGGCAGCACATGGCATGCAGAACTAACCTTCTTGGGATTGAAAAGGCATGACTGTGTTGCTTTGCGTCTCGTTCGAGGTGCCCCTTCCAGGAAGTCCACGGTGTCGGTGATACCAGCTGTGGCCCAGTGCTTGTCGCAAATGCCTCGGAAGTGTATTAAGTGCAGACTTCTTGCGCCAGCTTCCAAACCTCTGAACACCTGCAATGGCAAGCTGCATTTCTGCGTGCTGTTGTCATACTTGCCATGCCTGCAGTCCCGCGGCTCGCCCAACCTCAGCGCACACTGTGCCCAAGTTGAGAAGTTGTTAAGTCAGCCTAAGCCGACATCGACTTGTGGATGCAACGTTGTCCTGCTGCCTGCCCGCTTTGTAGCACCCATCGAGCTCAGGCAAGCGTCGCGACGGCAACCAAAGGCAGAATCCACCAAGCGCGGCTCATGCAGCGGAACGGCAAGATGCCGAAGTCTGAATACGCCTATTGGCGTAGATTTGATCTTGTCTCAAGTACGATAGCTGTGGCTCAGCTGTCGCGTCCAGTGACTTGTTTGTGAAATCATTCGGCGCTGACCTTGATCAATGGCTCGGTCGCAGGTTGCTTCATCCTCATCCCTCCCTCCCTTGCTGGTGGGCAGGCAGCGTAGAGATGTCTGCCTACTAGCCTTGCATCCTGCATTTACTTGAGAAAAGGGCCACGAAAGCTAGGGGAGAGGAAGCGTAGCTGCGAGCAATTGGGGCTGAGTAAGGCGGGGGACACATGTGACATGAGAGTACTGTCGAACGACACTGCGAAGGACCAAAAAGAACTGGAGCCAAGACGCAGCGCAAACGACAAACTTCAAACACAAGTTAAAGGTGGGGGGGGAGGCGGGGGGGGGGGGAAACCACACCTTGTCTCTTCAAAATGCTTCATGAGCGAGGTGAGGGGGGGGGGGGGGCGGCCCCTCCTCCCCCCCACCCCCCCACCTCAACTCTTGGACGTCCCACCTGATAAGGTGTAAACCCTGGTTTTGCCCTAGTGCCTTAATACAAGGTAGACCAAGTGAAAATTGCTAAAGGGCAACTCCCGCGAGCTCAACAGAGCTAGCTTTCGTGACAGTTGCTACTAGTTCTTCTACTACTTCTACTTCTACTTCTACCTCTACTTCTACTTTTACCTCTACTTCGACTTCGACTTCGACGACTACAAGTACAATTACTACAACGACAAGGAAAACTCCAACTCCAACTACAACAACTGCAACTACGACTGCACCGTTAGCTACAGCTACGACAGGAGCAGCAACAACCACAAATACAACAGCAGCTACTACTACTACTACTGCTGCCACTAAGACTACTACGACTACTACGACGACGACAACTATGAGTGTAGGAGTAGGAGCAGGAGTAGGAGGAGTAGGACAAGAAGGAGTAGGAGTAGGAGCAGGATGAGGAAAGTTGCAACACTGCTAAGAATACTTCGCCACAGGCTATATTATAGCACATCACAGCAGCAAGCAGGAAGCTCTACAGAATGGATGGACCGGGTGTCACCAACTTCACTGAGGCTCCAGTACTCGGTTCTCTTTTGCTCAATATTCCCAGACTTGCGCTTTCACCTCGGCGAGCGACTGGTATATGTTCTTTAGCAGGATGTTCTTCATCGGAGCAGTAGAGCCAGAATGCGCCAGCTGCGCAGTGCCCTTCCAGATGTCTTGTCAGGGCCGCACGACTGACGAGATGCCTGGCTTGCCGTCTCGCAGGACATCTCTTCAGGCTGGTTGACAAACAGCCTAGAGGAAAGCCTTCACGCCAACAGCATGTGTTTGTCGCCCCCATGTGCTATTCCACCATGCCAAATTGCTCAACTCCCGGCCCTTTGTTGAATACTCCTGTCACATTTGACCCCAGAGGCGCACGGCTTGCCTGCAGCTACCATTACTACTGCTACCAGTACTACTGCTACTACGACTGACACACCTACGGCTACTTCGACTATTATTGCTATTGTTGCGTTTTCTATTGCTACTGCTACCACTGCGACTGCTACCAGCAATATTGCTGCTACTATTCATGTAATTAGCATTCTTATTCTTATGACTATTTATTATCGTTACTGTTGTTGCTACGATCATTGATACTACTTGTATTACAGTTATGATTATTCGTATTCGCAAATCATGGTACTCTTGTTATTATTAGTCATGTATTACTATTGGTCACATCAACATTATCTTTGCTATTAATCCGGTTCTTGCAAGTAGTGTTATTGCTATGATTATCAGGATCACTATTATCATGACAATTATGAAACCGTCATTGTCATTCTTACTACTATCATTATTGTGAATATCGGCATTATACGTATTCTTCTACTTAGTATAATTAGTATTACCCGTATTTTGTTCTGCTTTGTCTTGATAATATTTACGGTAACTTTACGGTTATAACTTATAACTGCTATTGTTACAATTGTGGCTATTGCTACCATCGAATGCACGGAGTCGTTTCGGGGCAAACTCTGACTGAATTCAGCCCCTTGCCATTTTTGCAGCAAGCTGTCGGTGACTGTCAAGTTGCACAAACTGGCCCCAGATCTGGCCTGGTATTGGTCATCATTGCACACTCCCCGTTACAAGCTGACGCTTCCTGATGCTTCAAACTCCTGTGGACTAGCTTGTCCGATCCCAAAGTATGCCAAGCCAGCATCCACCATCATCCACCGCATACGAAGTCCATGCCCGGTCTCGCCAGCAATTCGGACATGAGGCACGGCCGCAAGCTCTTGGCGAAGTGACAGCTTCTGGGTCATGATCGTTGTGCCTTCAGGAGACAAGCGCCCTGCTTAGTATTGGCATGCTGCGCAACTTAAGCACCCGCTCCATCAGAGCTCTCAACCCCACGTTCGATGGCCTGCCGTCTCGATGTTGCTGCCTCCATCTAGTCCAAGAGCAAACATCGAACAAGATGTAGATCTGCAGGGAGACGTGTGCCTGAAAGCAACCCAAGGCAGCTATCTTATGGCTGACGTCGCGTTCTATACTCTTGCTGCAGATTGATCTGTGCCAGCAGTTGTTCACGGTTTCATCGCGGTCACGGCCGGAAAGTTTTGCATGCTTGCTCTCCTTTGGAAGCTCACATACTTCTTGCATGGTTGAGCAGGATCACCAAGGTAGCTTGTTGCTCTGTTTTTCGTTCGTTGGTTCCCAAGTGCCTCAGATGTCTTGATTCTGTCGTTGGCACTGCATCATTGGCCAACCTATCCAAGTCTGCCTGTCTGCTGACCCATGGCTTCATGTTCGGCATTTTGGAACCGCAGTTCTACTTGCCAACTCCTTTCGGGTTCAAGGAAGCCCGTTTGCAGACTCCTCATGACGAAGCGTTGCCGCAAGCAGAACGCGCGGTTAAGGAAAGCCCAAGGGTGGACACCAGGCCATCGAGTCTCCTAGCAAACTCTAGCACTCGAACCCTGGCCGACCCCACCTCTGCCCTAGATGCCGGAGACACCAGGCGGATCAACAAGCCTTCAGAGATTTGTGTTTGAGCGGGACATGTGCTTCGACCTTTCCCCACTTCTTGCCCTTGACGAGTATTGCCTTAGTATTACAGCTAGCAGCTTGGGACGGACACTTCTGGCTGTGCCGACATGACAAAGGCCTAGTGCCACAAGAAACACTCCCCGACGACATGGCACTTGAAGCAAAATGATGCACAATGTCTTTGGTGTTCAGCTTCTTCAGTTACACGCTCTTTCCAAAAGGACCGAAAAGTGGAGCATACCATGGCGGCTCGAAAGCGTGGCATCGGCATCAGCTTCGGGATGCACACATGAGTCTGGAACAAACTTCCCTCTTGGTTGGGAGCTGAAGTTTTGTACGGGCTTGCAAGGAGGCGTTGGAACAGGGATAGGTAGCGATGACCACGTCGCTTGCCTTGCCAATGGGATCTGACTCCTTCCTGTAGCAACTCTAGCACCATAGCTTCCACATTTTCTCCCTGCAACAACCAGCTTGACATTGCGACATTCTACTGATCGTCATTCCGTTGTACCGGAGAGCAAGATGAGGCTGCTGCCTTTGGACTTCCTGCACCCCAGATTCTGCACGGGACGCCAACCTGATGCCGAGCATGGACTTGCTGCAGGGAGTCCAATGCTGAATTTTTGCAATCTGGGACCCCTGCCCATCGACCTCCTGCTGCAGCTTTGCTAGGCTCCAGAGAAGCCAAAGCAGCATGCCTGACGCGGCCGGAGTACGACAAGAAATGTACTACGCCGGACTCAGACCGAGCCGAAGCCCGGCCTGTCGAGGTGCTAAGCTCAGGGCCAAAAACGACACACGCCACAGAAGAACTAACCGCTGCGACGAGGCCGCTTGGACTCGGTGCCTGACACCTTAAGAGAAGGACAAAGTCGAAGGGAAGATGCCATAGATACAGGCAAAGACGGTTCTGCTGTGCATCGAGAGTGCCACCTGAGAATGGCACAGTTCGACGTCTTGGGCCTATACAGATACACTGCGGGGACCTCCACTGAACACCGCGACTCGGGATATTCTCGCTTCCGCCGAAACCAATCGAACCCGAACCAAATTGTAAAACACTAAGCCCTGTCGACCGAGAAAGCAGAGAGCGCGGCCATGCTCCAGGTTTAGCTTGACGGCGTGAGCTGCGGGCCATCAGGTTAAAATCTGTCCAATAAAGAGGTTCAATCGGTCGCACCGACTCACATGCACGAGGAAAAGTCGTTCTGCCCAGAGCCTAGGACATCTAGCAGATTTTGATTGGAGTTCAGCTGGCTGTGTGAGCCACAAGTATCAGCAGCGCAGCACCTAACATCTTTGTCTTTCACAGCATGCATCAGAAGACTGCACAACGGAATGACCGGACGGCCGCATCTTCCACTGCTATGCAGTCAAACTTATTCTCACTGCATCTTCGGCAGGCATCGGTTTGAAAAGCAAAGCATGCGCTTATTCGCTGGATGAATGGTCACTTTGCCGACGTGGTGCTGTAAGGCTCTGACAGAACCTGTTTCTGCGATACCATACCTTTATCTAGCCGAGCATGAGGAACCCTTCTGATTCTTCTGCTGGCTCAAGTCCGAGCAGAGCGGATCATGAATTCTCAAACGGCAGAACTGCCCTCGTTGCCACTCGAGAAGCCACCCTGCACGTGCAGAGAGTGCATCGGAATCGGCACAGCAACTCAGTCTGTACATCGCCTTTCGCCTTTGAAATCCCACACACACACACACACACAACGACGTGGCGCGGAAGAATACAGCACAAGAGTGGCGTGACATGTCTGGATTTCCCACACCTCTAGAAGCGGCCGCTGCACCCCGGCCGCACCGGTTGGAGCAGGCGCGAGGAGTGTCCCTGCGACCTCCCAGTCTTCTGATACGTCGCTGCCACAATTGCACCCCGGGAGATTGCTGCAGCGAAGCAATTCGCACATCAGGGCATTAAGCTAACGAACCCACAAGTAGCATATGCCACTCTGATCCTGCACGCATGTTGTGCTTGTAACAGCTTCGTCGTATCTGTCCTGCAGCAAGCCGAAGAGCATCGCACACCTGCCGAGCTGACAAAACCTCAGCCTATAGCTGTATAGCTACACACCTTCGCAAATCTACAGCTCTGAAGGAAAGCTTGCACAAACAGAAGACTTCAGCTGCAGCTCACACTCTTTCTAGGTACCAGTATGATGTTTTGACGTAAAGTCTTAACCAAGGTCGAACTGCAGGCACTGACCCGGCATCAATCACAACTTAGACAGGTTCCTCCAGATGCATCGCCTTGACAATGAAAATGAATGAGCAACGATCACACAAGCGGGGCAGCAACGATCACACAATGAGGGCATTTGATGCTGGGCGCCCGATTTCCGGCCTTAGCGCCAGAAACGCCATGCTCGCAACAACCACGAGGATGTTGCAGCCAGCTACAAGGGTGGCCTCGTTGTCTTGCGGTGTATCCAGTCATCGAGCTGAGCATCGTTGTCAGGTCAACAAATGAGAACCAGAAGGGGTACCTGCCTCCAGCTATTTATCCAGAGGTGGTTCGATGTGGTTCGCTAGGCATGAGATGCGTGCTCTCCCCTTGCATTTTTTTTACTTTCCAAAGCAAGGTCGTTGTGAAAACACAGTCGGAAGGGAATCTGCGGGGCCTTCGCGGGTCTAGTTGGAAACCTTCGCACATGGTTCTCTGGAAGGTTTCTGAAAGGATGCTTGCTTGGTGGTAAGGACGCGATAAAACCTTAGAGGGGTCAGAAGACGCGTCCTCGATCAACAAATTGAGCTGCATCCAACTCAGACGGAGTTGTCTCGGAGGCATGAAGGGCACGAACGTTGCTCTCTTCTTCTTCCTCAGGGCATAAGGGGCGAGTTGAGCCCCCTGGCCACATTGGCCCCCCATTTTTTTGCTACGGGGCTTCGAGGGGTGTGAGATATTGTGAGATAGTTGGTTGATGTCCCCGAAGTAAGCAAACGTGATTACTTTCAACATGTGACACATGCTCTCTCTTTCTTTCTTTCGCCAGGCTTGAGGGGCATGCCCTTCGCGGAGGGCAGCCCGAGGTTGGCTGGGTGCACTGCATTAAGTGCTCTCTCTCTCTCTCTCTCTGTCTCTCTCTCTCTCTCTCTCTCTCGCTCTCGGGCATAGGGGTCGGTCAAGACCGCCGGGCATCAAGCCCACCCGCAAACTGTTTGTGCAGGAGAGGGTGTGCAGTACGAGTATGACTTCTCTTTCTGGCCAACGCCTTCAAGAATGCGATGACGAGTGCAGAGAAGTGTATACTCTCCTGTGACAAGAATAAAATAAAGGTTTCGTGGTGCTGAAAAGAACGCGCATCGGCTTGGATAATAGGACAGTGGAGTGGAAAGGTCGAATTGCTCAGCTCCCCCGTTTCAGGAAATGGCTGAGTTGAGGAACAATGCATAGTAGGAGAGGGTCAGTCCATTCCCTAGTACTGGAAACACCTTGGAGCATGCGGTCCCCGGGGAGTAGCGGGGTAGGCGGTTGTCTAATCTGGTAGTCCGTGTCAATTGCTCCAGCGGCCCGTCTTGAAAAATTGAAAAGAAACTTGGATCGTGAGGCTTCCCGAGCACAAGTGGTCGAGACAAAAAGATCAAGGACCAAACATGAAAGACAAGCGAATTATTTCCCTCTCTAGAAACATGCTCTCTTCTTCCCCGGGGCATGAAGGGTGTCTGACGCCCCTCGGCCACATGCTCTCTTGCTTGCTTGCTCAGCGTGTAGGTTAGCGAGGTAAGACCCCACATGCTCTCTCTCTCTCTCTCTTGCTTGCACTCGGACAAGGAGAAGCAGGCTCCCCTCCCGCGCACGTGTGCGCACCGGGTCCGTGGTCTTGGCAGTGAAACTGTTAACCGTTTGAGGGCCGCGTTTTGTGAACCGTTGAATCCCCCTATTACCCTGAACACTAGTTTCCCCCAACGCGCCTCATCTGTACTCCGGTCTTCCAAAGATCTCTCAACTCTTGGCTGAAGTCCCGACGCCCCCTTTGGGGGAAAAAAGGGAGGTGTTTCCCCCGCGGCTTCGGCTTGAAAGGAAGCTTGTCACTGTGGCCTACTTCAGCTACAGCATACTGCACGAGGTTCCGGCCTTACAACTGAATCCCCCAAGCAACAGCGGAAATGCACTCACATCAACCAACAGCTACAGCTAACAGACACTGTGCCTTCCCCCCGGCAATTGTTGGAGGCTCTCACTGCACTTGCCTTCACTCATCGCTCAGGTCGGCGCGGTTTCCTCTTTAGAGGCGACCGCTCTGGCTTCCCCCCAGCTGGGAAGGTTCTGGTTGTCGCGGTCGGGCGCGGTGAACCTCTTTCCTCTGTCTCAGCATTGTCCCCCTCACGGGCAAGCCTCAACACTTGCTGTGTGAGCGAGGAGGGAGTGGCTGGTTCCCCCGCAGTCCGGGATTGGCTTGCTGACGCCCGTCCCTTGGCTCTCCTTGGGAACTTCACCTTCAGCTCCTTTGCTTGGTGCGAAGTGCTGTCACTCGCTATTTTGACCACTCGTGGCTGTCTCCCCGCTGCGTACACTGCGGCGTTGGCGCTTTCGAGGTCGAACTCCTCCGTCTCCACCGCGACTTCCCCCGCCTCCTCGTCTAGGTCTTGTAGTACTCGTTGTAGAAAGTCCGCATCATTGAGCAGGGGCGCTGCTGTGCCGGCGCTGCTTTCCCCCGGCTCTGTACTCCCCCTCGGTGCCTCCATGTGCCAGGCTGCTCTGAGCTGGTCTTCCGTGAGGTCGCCGAATGCAGCATCGACAGCGTCGTCGTCTGGCCATTGTGGTCTTGACGTCCCCCCAGTCCGTAGGTCGTCTTCTGTTGCCTGAATCTCTGGTGTTTGAGGAGCTGCAGTGCCATCAGCTTGGCCTCCCCCACTGTCCAGGTCGCTCTCTGCTCCGGTCCAGTCTGATACATCTGCATGTATGGCTTCTTCTTCTTCTCCCCCTGGTGGCAGAGGAGGTGTGACTGGGGCTTGTTCCCCCATGTCTGCAGCTTCACGAGGATGGAGATCCCCCGCAGTCACTTCCTCCCCCGCCTGGCTTTCAGTGGGCGTCTGGTCGAACGCCCCCACCAAAGTCTTCCACTTTGCAGCGTCCACACGTAGTTCTTCATGGTGTCGAAGTTGTAACCCCGTCCAGAGACCTCCCACCTTGAGGGGCCGCTGCTCCAGACTCTCCATGACATGGCTGAGCGTTCTTCTTCCCCCGTACAATTTTGCAGTCATAATGCAATTGTACGCTTGGTCCGCCATTCGCTCCAGTATCCCCCGCCTCTGGCCTTCGGAGAGCACTCTTACATTGGAACTCGGCGCTTCTCCAAACATGTAGAACGACTTTGTCCCCCCATGGTACACCACTTCGCCTTTCCACGCTTCTGCATATAGTTGCTCAACCAGCCTTCTTGTAGAGCGGCGTTGTGGGTGTGTCCCCCGCAGCGGGTCACTGTCGGTGCTGGCGCTCGTCTCACTGGACGACGACTCTTCGCTGGAGGACATCGCAGCCACTGTTGCTTCTTGCTCCCCCGACGGAGCCTCTTCCCCCCTTGGGAGGGCAGCCTTTGGTGCAGCTTGGCCTCGTTGGTGAGCTGGCTGCGGCTTTGCTTTGACTCTCGGTGGCTCTTGAACTTCCCCCTCCTCCGCAGCTTCCTTTGGAGCATCTTTGCGCCGTTTTCTGGGAGGGATGCCATAACATCGGCACCTTGGATCACGGCACTCGTGTGGGAGATGCTTGCCTTCTCCCCCCATGGCGCAAAGGCGGCAGAAGTAGCTTGGCTCCTGTGGGCTCCCCTCTGCTCGAGCGCGGTTAGGAGCGGCAGTCAACGAACTCCCCGAGGCCATGGCTGCGCGCTGTCCTTCTACTGCTGCTGTCTGGGCGTTGTGTTCCCCCGTTCAGGAGGCTGTCACTTTTTGCCGTGCCAACCTCTGTCCTTGGCTGGCAAACGCTGCTGCGGTTGGAAGGTCCTGTGCGTCCAGCTGGCTGCTCCTTTAGTTCACTATCTCAAAGAGCGGGCAACATGGTGCTGGCAAACGGTCTGCAACATGTCTCCCCCAGTAACTCTGTTCTCTCTGTTGTGGCTTTCTGGTTTTGCTTGTTGCGTCCTGCTGTCAACTCTGTGTATCATTCGCTAGCCGCAACCGCATCCCCCCTCACAGGATAAAGTGTGTCGTCCCCTCTGCGGTGTCTGTGAAACTTGTTTTCATGTTGTGGTGGTGGTGGTAGTCTGTTCACAAAGCCGCCCGCTAGGTCCGAGGCCCAACTTGATGGAAAAACTTTTGGCCCTGTGAGCCTTGGTGCGATCAGGTCTCGCTGGGTGTCGTAACACGTTGGCGTGAAGACCGCCTGCGGCGCCTGAAAAACAAGTGGGGAGGCAGGTAGCCGCCCTCCAAAAGCCGAAAGATTGCCACCCTGCCTTGACCGGGCTGGCGAGGCACCTCCAGGGTGTTTGCAGCCGCTCGCTGTCTCCCAGCGCAGCGCAAGCGGCGTTCCTTGAAAAAATTTGCATCGGGCACAAAACATGTGTGAGCTACCTAAGTCGTGCAAAACTGTGCTGCAAAAACGGCAGGGTACGCCCTCAGTAGAAGGCCGGGTGCCCGACGTGGGTGGCGAGCCACTACCACACGGGAGGAGGTCAAGATGCTTGTGGGAGAGAGCCACCAAAACCTCCCAAGAAGCACGGTACCATGTCGGAACGGCCAACTGCCTTTGAAAAACCTGCCGAGGGGCTGGTGACCCAGGTGGGGCCAGGGAACTGGCAGGGGTCCCCTGGCCAGTATACCCCTACTCGGGGTTCTCATTGCCGCCTGCAGCTCCGTCTGGCTTGGCCCCGTCGAGGGGGTTTGGGCGCTTAGCGTGCAGATCTGTGCGGGCCGGGCCGTACATGCCGGGCATCTCCTGAGGGAAGTACTCGTCGGGCCCGCGGAACTTCGCGAGGAAAGGGTCCTCCGGAAACTCTTCTTTCCCGACCAGGGCCGCCTTCATTTTCGCTCGCGTGGCCTCGGAGAGCTCGTGCCCGGCATCCGCAAGGACCGTCTCCAAGGCACCGAAAGCAGTGCTCGTGGAGTCCGCCGTCATGTCCTTGAAGGCCCTGGCCGTCTCCTGGATCTCGGCATCCTTGGCGACGATGTCCTTGTCCACTTGGTCGACGTCGCCTATGAGCTTCTCGAGCTCAAGCTTGAGCTTGTCTGCCCGTGCCTGGAGCTTGGCCTTTTTCTCCACCAGATTTTTCATCTGGTTGGTGGCCTTCTTGAAGTCACTGACACACTTTGTCAGCTTCTCCTGAGGCGTGGGCTCTGCTGGTCGAGGTCCTCGTCAGGCGGAGGGGGGATGCCCGCAGCCTCCAGCAGGGTTTGGACGTGGAGTCCGGCCCCAGCGTACACCACCAGCGTTGTACTCCTTCTCAGTCATCCTACCCTTTAGGATGGACTGCAGGTCCAACCCCGGAGGGGGCGGAGGCGGGCCCTTCGGCCGAGGTGGGCTGTACCCAACCTCCTGGAAGGCCTTCTGCGCGGACTCCGGCAGGTCCTTCCAAAGTCCTGCCAGGACTGCACCGACCTTGCCTCCAGAAGGCCCTGGTTGGCCTTTCGGGCCTTTGCCCTCGCCCTTGCCTTTTCCTTTGGCGCGGCTCTCTTCTCTCACAGCACGAGGGCTGTTGGTGTGCTCTGGCCTACCGTCCTTGCTTGCCTGCTGTCTGCTCAGCTGCTTCTGCCAGTTCCTGCCGCAACACGAGCAGTGTGTGTCCTCTCCCGTCTCGATCTGGCGCTGCCAGGTCCAGTTGTACCCGCAGGGACAGGAGAGCCACTTGCGAGCGCGAGTCATGGCTCGGAACTGGTGTGGAAGCCACTACCAGTAGCAGCGGCTGCAGCTGGCAGGTGGGCGAACCCAACCTGCCACTTCCAAGCTGGCCACGCAAAAAGTTCTTGCTTTGTTCGGTGCTATGGCTCGAGAACGCAAAGCCTGGGATTGACGGGGTCCCGGGCCTGGTCGGAAAGGAACGTTAGGGCCCCCAGGCTCAAAAGTTCCTAAACGAAAAACTCGCGCCGGCTACCAAAACACTGCCAGCAAAATGCTGGCTTGAGCAAAAACTTGAGCCAGCCCTTACTTAGAACCCCCCATCTTGGACCTGCGGCCGCGCTAGGAGGAAGACTTGGCAAAAAACACAGACACAGACGGAGTACCTGCAGCAGTTTGGGTTTCAAGGGCAGCACGCTTACGTGAGGAGCCAGATTTCCCATGCGCACAAACACGCTCAAGGGTGGGCGGGGTAAGTCCCCCCACTGCTTGCACACCGTGGCACCTGGTACACCTCCACCTGGAGCCTTCATTGCACATGTTATGCGACGCATGCCAGTTCCATTCCACCGCAGGAGCACTGACTGAGGGGATGGTTTTTGCAATAATTGGCGACCTTCCTATGAAAAACCGGCTTCGTGTCGATCTGTTGAATCCAGAGGCCACACTCTTCACACTTGATCTGCATGTTGTTGCCAGTTTTCCCGCCCGTCTGGACGAATTTGTGCCCCTTAGTGTCCCTTTCACCCGCCACCAAGGCCTGTAAGATTTGTTTCTTATTGGCCTCCGGCGACGGCTGGGATGGCGGCTTCCTTCCAGACTCAGTTCTGATGTCGCTCTGCTCTGGCAGTGCCTCCTTATCGGGACCTGCGTTCTCCGGCCCATTGTCAAGGTTTTGTTGCCCCCCGTCAACCGGTGGGGTTTTCAGAACCTTGGTGCGCTTTTTCTTTTGGAAAGACGACCAGCTGGTTGAAGGGCTGGCCGACTCCGTGGACTTTGCCGTGCTGGCCTTCCTGGGAAAGAGGACCTGAGGTCCTTGGTCTTTGTCATAACCCATCAGGGCTTGCATTCGCCTTCCCAGAATGCGCGAGACCGACGCAGCTAAAGCATCGGACTGCAGGAGGGCCGCCTCACGGCCTTTCTTCAGCAGTTTGTTGGCCCTGGCTCCAACAAGGCGGTCAACTTCATCATTGATGACTCTTCGCCACTCTTGTCCCGGCCCCACTTGGTCCTGAAATTGCTCGGCAGTCAGATGGGATGGGACCCAGTGCAAATCAAGCTGCTCTGTGGGAGCCGTGCCAAAAATATCGAGATTGCGGCCCTTTACATGGCATCCTTTGCGACTCCGCGCGACCGCCCCTTTGCAGTCACTGGTGACATCGGTTCCTGCCGAAAGATGCTGCGCAGCAAAGTGAACGGCTCTGGCCTCCCCCCGATAGACACTCTGCTCATTTTTTAGCAGTCCGGTGGCCGAGCCAATGCAGTGAGGCTTGCCGTCCTGCCATGTATACAGGGTAACACCCCACACTACTGTGCGCAGCCTGGGGTCTTTGGAGGCTCCGCCACTTGCATCGGTTGCCGCGAAAGCCCCGGGTGGGACGGACCCCCCATCAAGAAGGACTCCCTGACACTCAATGGCCTCATCCTGCACATGAGCACATTCTGGCCAAGAGGGATCCCTCGGGAGGAGGCCAAAATCCCACAAGCAGGCCGGGTAGGCCGGGTCCTCGCGGGTGGGCCACCATGGACCATTCCGGCTCCGGCTCCCCATGGTCCTTCCACCACTGGCAGTCCCATAAAACATGCCGTTTGGTGGCCGGGGCCCCACAACGTTGGCATGTGGCATGCGGTGACGCTCTGACCGCATCTGGCAAGTGCGGTCCACCTTTTTCAGGATCTTGTTGGGGACCGTCCAGTCAGGTCCCGTTTGGAGGCCTTGGCCGCCATCTAGAGCTGCAAGAGCTGCATGTCTTTTGGCTGCGACCCATCTTTTGGCGAGGAAAAGGACCTCATGGAAATCCGCAGCTCGGAGGATGTCGTAGGTTCTGGTAGCGATTTTCCACTTGTGGACACTCAAAGGCTCCCAACCCATTTCCTGTCGGTCACTTTCACTCCCCCTCTCGCTCTGACCCCAAGTTGGAGGCTTTCCTGACTTTCTGGGCTCAGCCTTGAACCACTCACGGCTTGCTCTCTCTCTCTCTCTCTCTCTCTCGCTCTCTCTCTCTCTCTCTCTCTCTCTCTCTCGCTCCCTTTCGACTTGCGTTCGTCTACGTGGTCTTGCCCGAAGCTTTCGCATGCGAATCTAGCAATCCCTTATGACGCTCTTGCAGGCTTCTCGCCTCGTTCCGTCGGGGTCTCACAGAAACCTGCGGTTTGACTCCGCGTACTTCAAGTCGGCTCTTTGCCCCTCGATCGTCGATTCCAAGGGCCAGACCAGCAACTCCTGGGCTCAGCACAGTCAAGAGCAAAAGGACAGACCCAGACCCATGGCATCTCCGATGACAACATCATCTGAAAAAGGGGACAAGCCGAGCGACGAAGAGTCCGACAATCGTGTTCAACAGGCCGACTGCCAGGAACACTGCTGCCACAACCACACCTGGACGTGGAGGCAAATGAACCCACGGCATCCAGTAGTCTCAACAGCAAGCTCCCACCCTGGGCACCTGAACCCCAACCACGACTAAGGAATTCCAACATGACGCGACATCAAGAGTGAGGTTGACACAATAGTACACCGTTGTCTCCGTCAACGGCACAGCATTGTCACGAAGTGGCATGAGGCTGGTGCCTTGCCTCCGCACATTCAACACAAGTGTTAACCGGTTGAGACACCACGGCTGCCAGTTTGCTGTAACACCACAGTGTGTTGTGGAGTGTCGAAACGTGGATTTGCCATCACGGCCTCATTCAACATGCTAAAAGCATCAGCATCAGCCTATATCTTATGCATCGTGCCACTTTCTGCTAACACAGCATTTCCCGCTACTCGATGGGGTGCTCGAGCCTCGCCGCTGCTTCTACTCTACACTCACGACTCGTTCCGCCT